AAGCCAAATGCAATACACAAGTTCACGACACTGCACTTATAATGCTTTCTAATTTTCAGGCTCATCTACTGGCAATTCTCATGCACTTCTTCAAACAAACTTTTATCCGCAAGAAGAATAGTCCTACTGATCTACTAGACTTCGCTGAAAACCATCGGTCGCATCAGGAAGGCGACCACCATCAAACTAATTCATTATGTAAAAATTTGAATTTTTATTAAATCATGAATCAACAAGACTGTGATCCACTTCGCTTCTGCCGCTTCTTTGCCTCATTAGTTCAATTCCATTATCGCATCAGTAAGCCCTGACATACTATCATGACTATGCCAGATCAAAGAAGAATCGCAAGAACGCGTTTTTAAATCAGACAAGAAAAAACAACCTGCGTCTGCCCGCGCTGGAACAACGCTGATCCATGTAAATTTCTATGAACATCCACTTTAATAGCCACTGGACGGAATTCGTCGAACTTTCGTCCATCGCATCGAACATTGTTCTTGAATAGCACTTTCCTGAAGGGAAAATCACAAAAATCAGTCATCAAATCAGACTGAATCACATATCCCAAGGTTTGCTGTAATATGACAACTGGCATTTGCTTTTAGAAAATTGTGTGAATATCGTGGCGGGAAGCCAATTCAAGCTCGCTTCACCAGGAGATTGGTAATGATCTGCAGCGCATGTCAGAAAAATAATAGACATCAGCTTGCTGTCAACTGACATTAGGAAGCGGCATCCTCGCAACCGCTACGATCCAGATGCACGTGTACTAAGAGGCAAGTGTAGAGGCGTCCCCACTAAATCCAGTTCCAAATTACCTCAAGGACTTTTTAAGGAGATTGTTGAAAATGTGACGAAGCTTATTTGGAGAGACTTTTTCCTTGAAATGCTCAAGCACTTGTTCATCAATTTCCGAAATGGCTCGATCGCGAGAAAGTTTATCGTGCCTTGCATCCATCAAAATACCATAAAGTTGTTCGCCGCAAAATGCCTGCACTTCTTCCGTCAATGATAACAAATTCACGTCAGCTTCTCCAACAGGATCCTAGAATGATCCCATTAAAAATTTCACATACCAGTACGTGGGACGCAAACGTGTGTGAAGGCTGAATTTGAAATCTTGGACGGTGGACACCGTTCCAAATTTTCCACTTCATAGTTCTCTGAGTTCCGAGTAACTTCAGCACCAAAACCTTCACATGCCGTACGTGGGACCTCATCATACTTAGGAGCAAAATTTGAGTCTGCTAGGCCTCTACTTAAGCAGAAAACGTTCTCCTGAAGTTTTCAGTCTCCCAGCTCCTCTCGATCTCGAGATAATAATTCTTCCCGCCAAACTTTTCGCGGAGTCGTAAGTGATACCCGGAGATATGTAAAGGCTGAATTTACGTCTGTGGCGATGACGGGGAAATTCCTCCTAAAATTTCAGCTTCCTAGCTTGTCTGGTCCCCGAGTTGAAAGCCCTGGATAAAATGCACTCGGAAGACACACACACAGGGTGTAACTATTGCAGCACAAAACGCAAAAAAACCCATCACTATAGTAATAACTGGTAGCAATTCCAAACCTGTCTTTTCGACCGGCCCGATAAAGTCCTCAACTCAGTAATGGCATGAATTATTTGAGACACAGCTTGAAGTCCGGTCCTAATGCATTCATTCAACAAGTCTATGGCAATTTCAGAGCCATCCATATCGATCATGAGCACTCTTTTCCCGTAATCACAACCTGCCAAAACTAAATCCAGCGCAGAGCATTTCATATCTTGCCGCCTTGGATTTACGACTATCTGAAAAAAAACCCACAAGATAACGACAGAACACCATTAATCATCCGTATAACACGAATAAAAAAAAA